GCTGTTCTGTTTGAGAAGTGCTTACCAGGCACTGGGAGCACGAGCACGTGTGTAGCATTGCTGCAGAGGCCTGAGGTTAGAGCTCAGGGCATCCCTTAATTTCTGCTATAGCTGGAGCCCATTGGTGACAAATTATTGCCATCACTGGATTTGAAAGAGTCCTGAGCTGAAGGGTTTCACAATAGATGAAAGCTCTCTAGAGATCAGGTTAGTAAGATACTCCCTTCAAGAGACCACAGGAATAACATTTGTGTTATTGCTCAATAATTGGTTGTACTCCATGTTATGTGGCTTAGGAATGGAAAGAGAGCTTTTCTTTGCTTCCTTTATTTCCTTTTTGTTTTTTTGTTTTTTTTTAATGGCTATTTTTCTTCTTCCCAAGAGACTTTGCATTGTTTGGGAGTGGAACATCAGGAGAATAGCTGAGAAGTGAGGGAATTTGACAGCTTAAAGAAGCAGTTAAAGCAAGGAAAAGCAAATAGACAGAACTATTTCCATTTTAAGCATTGTTGGTGTAAAAAGCTTGCAGCTGAGTTTCAGAAAGAATGCATGAGCATGAAGTTCTTTGGGCAGCAATAAAAATACAGGGAGAGAATTAATGGAAATGGAAAAGAAGTCAGAAACACTTTGCCTTCGGGCACTCTGCTGGTTCCCATGCAGCTAGTGATGCTCTCTCCTCTTTTGAGCATATGCTTTTGTATGCATGTTGGAGAGTATGTTAAGCCATGAAAGGATGTGAGGATGCAGTTTGATGCAGCTTGTGTTCAGCTCTGCAGTTCCACCCATGTGGGACCTTTGGGGGGGGCGGTCATGTTCTCTGTTGGGCCCTTCCTGTGCTCAGGGGAGACATGCAGTGTTTGTGCTGGCACGTGTGGTGTCAGTGGGAGCTGCTGGAATCTGATGGAGGAGTTGCAGCCCCATGAGCTGTTTAATTATGTGCACTTCTGGACCATCAGTTGCAGCTGCGCTGCTCCTTGCAGGGAGCTGTTGGTGCAGCAGCTGCCACTGCAGTGTTTTGCTCAACAGTGTGTCTGTAAGTCGGCCTCTGAGCCAGAGGAAAGCAGTGAATCCTTCTAGAGAGCATTTTGGTGCTGCTTCACAGCAGACAGGTGCTGAGCTCCTGTCCCCTTGTGCTGCGGTCTGATGAGGGCCTCCTCACCAAATGCTGCATCATGCTCCTTGCCTTGTTTTCTTGCTTTTGTCAAAGAATGCTAAAGCCTTGTGGAATTTGTTTTCTAATGCCTTCCCTTACTGCAACAGTGAGGAGACTGCAAAACGGAGGAGAATGTGTAGAAGGAAATGAAAAGCTGATAGAGCTCATTGAGGTACCTGCCCAGCTTATAGCTGGTGACCAAAGGTGCCCAGCTGTGGCACAGGCTGAATCTGCTGAACGTCCGTCCAGCCCTTGGCAGGGGCAGTGCTGCTCTTGTCAGACTGTTCCTGGCACACCAGTCCTCACCAGCTCCTCTCTTGCTCTGTCGGGTAGATGCTTCCCCAGCTGCCATCTTCTTCCTGGCCTTCCTTGAGATGTGAACACCTTTACTGAGCTTTGTGTTCAGAGATCCTCATCCGGTTTTGCTGTCTGAGTACGTGAAGCTAAATGTGCTCAAGTGAACCACAGTAGTAACTGATGTACTGCAGCATTGTCCTCTTCATGATACCTTTTTTTTCTTTCTGGGATTAATTGCTATGAAAAGCTTGTTCTAAGCTCCTTTGTGCAGATTCTTGTTTAGTACCAATTGCACCTACTGGAGATTTTGGAATTCCATGAATTGAAAGTTAGCTTTACAACCAAAATATTGCATACCCTCTTTTGTCCCTGTGCTTCATTAGTGTTAGCATAGAGCTGTTGCCCACCTTCAGCTTGCTGTGCAGATGGGGAACACAAGGAGGACATGGATGCCTTTCCTTTGGAATCCCATGCTTCCAGTTTTGCTGCCTGTATTTCATCCTTGGGCAACACAGAAAAGAACTGAAAATGGGATACATGACCCCAATGTAAGGCATCACTTGTGACATTGGTGGCTTGCTGAAATAATGCTGAGGCCAAACCTGGAAGGATAGAAAATGATGTTTAGTTCAGACTTCAGAAAGGAGCTAAATTTCACCTTTGCCTTGGCTCCTGAACGCAGAGGTGGGCCTTACAGTTATCTGGTCACGGTTGTTCTGGTTAGCACTCGGTGCAGGACGAGTTTCTTTGTTGGCTGTATGAATGGAAAGTCAGCAGGTTCACATGGTCAGCACGTCTGACAGCTGCACTGCTGCGGCTTCACCTCAGCACTGCTCAGCATGGAGCTCGCTTTCTCCAGACCTGACAAAGTGAGGCTACTGAAGCAGCCTGGCAGATTGATCCACAGCATTGCAGGGCAGAGCGAGTCAGCAGCCTGGAACAGCCTGCAGGTGTTTTTTTTCATTCCTTAATGTAAATGGTGCTTTGAGAGAAGTTGGGGTGGTGGTGGAAGAGCTTCGTATTGCTGGTGATTTTTGTTCTAAAAGGTACCAGGCTTAGACAAGCCACCAGAGGATTGCTTTCCCAAGGTGAACCTGCTCTTCATGTGTGCTTGGCGTTGTTTGAGCCCTCTCCAAGGGCAGGATCTCCTTGAAAGGCATCCCATCCTAACGAACCCGGCCTTTCCTCTTTGGGTGTAGTTAAAGTGAGATGCTCAGTTAGTTTCTTTCTGCTCCTGTGGTGTATCTGTGTGATAAGGGTGGTTTAATTTGCATCGAGGGGGTAGTGCACGGATTCCCCAACCTGAGACAAGTTGGGAGCGTGTGTGAGCGTATGTAAATTGTTGGTAATGGACTGCTTTATGGGGTATTTATTTTATGTGCATGTGTTTATGTTAAATAATGTAAATGGTGGAAGAGCAGAGCGTGGGATAGCTGCACGACCTCTCGAGCAGAAGCCTTCAGAAGGCAGTGTTTGTAGCACTTTCCTGACGCCAGCTCAGTCATTGGTGATCGGAGCTGTGGACGTGAAGCTGAGCAGGAGCTGCTTCATTGCAGAGCGCTGCTTCCTCCCTGCAGCTGAGCAGAGCTCTGCGCCGTACCCCAGCTCTGTTCTCCCCAGCTATGAGTCTGTTTGAAACAAGGGTTTGTCTGCATGCAAATACGTGCTGGCTCAGTGCACGTCTTCCCGTTCTGCAGAAAATGGGTGTCTTTTTCAGTGAACGAGGTTACCTTTGGTGCAGAGATGACTGCTGGAAGTCAGGGTTCTATTCTGTGTTGTTTGAGTTTTTTCAGTTGCCCTCAGCCATTTCGTGTTGCTGCTGGAGCACAAGGCTTAGAAGTTCTGTGCTATTTCAGTATGCATACACTTGCCCTTTTGCTTTTGTCCCCCCTTCTGGTACCTTTTTGGTTAACTAAAACTGACATAATTCAAACTAAAGCCTAGTCTGGTTTGGCTGCCTGGCTTTGAAGTAAAATCTTTTGCTAAACCAGGGCAAACAGGGCGATGCTCAAAGCCCACGTGTCCAACTCCATGTGTACTGCCTGCTGCTTTAACTGCTTCCTTGGTAGCTTTGCAAGTTTTCGTCCTGTAACATGGCTCTCATCTCTTCAGAAAGGAGTTAAAGCAGTCTTGTTGGCTAGCAGCAGCTTCTGCTTGCAATTGTTTTGCTCAGAGCTGAAGTTTTCTTTCCTGATACCAATCTAATTTACTGCCAGAACCAGAAATGCTGCAGTGCAGCAAGTGGTGGTTGCTTAAAAGCAGCGGATTCATAAGCCAGGCTTTGTAGTAACTGTGTTATTTTGTGCCTCTGAGGAAGTGGGCTTGTGTTGGTTTGATAACATTTGATGATAGCCCTGCAAACTGGAAATCACAAGACCAAATCTTCAGAGCGCAGAAAGCAGCTCTGCTGCTGTCAAAGCATTCACTGTGGCAGCTGAGCATCTGACCCAAATCCCTCCTTGCATTTGCATTGTTGGGGAACATGGCAAATCTAACCTCTGTGCCACAGATGCACAAAATCTGTTTTTTACTTTCCCTGCAGTACTTAATGGAGCCAGCTGCCAAGCGTTTCAGGCTGATATTAAAGGCTTGGTTTGTGTTGTAGCTCGGAGAGGATAAGTCTGCAATACAGCACAGTTTAAAACGTTTTCCAAGTGTTGTGGAAGCATTGATTTCTGAAGTGTTGTGGAATGGATGGCTGTGGAATTTGAGTGCAGATGAAGTAACTAAATTATAAAAGAAAAAGAAAAAAAAAGGTAATTTAGGTTAACTCAGAACACAGTAATAAGTTGGCTTGGATAATTAATTTGGATTTAGAGTTGCTTAATTTCTCTTGGCGTTTGCAAATCCCAGACGGACCTGTGGAATGTTTTTGATAGAGAAAAGATTCTATTGGAAACATGTGTGTGACTGTGCTTGTGAGGGCAGCAATATCTGCAGAACAATGCAGCATCTGTGTATGAACGTCGGCAGACAAGAAGTCTTGCAGTAAACACAACTAATGCAATTTTTGTGGCATCTTTTGTTAGCATGTCTTTTATTCTGGAACAAATCATGAGGCTACAGGGGGAAAGAAATCCTGTTCTGTAGAAACCTCTACCTGTTCTAAATGGTATTTAAGGGCATTATGCTGACAAAGCTGGACTATAAATCTATTTTTTAGACTAATATCAGAGTTGTTCTTTAGGTGTAGACCTCAGATTCTCAGAACTTCTGAGAACTCTTCAGTGTAAAATAAAATACTGCACAGGGAATCCATTTCTTGTCATTTGTCTTGTTATGTGTTTGCATTAGAGAATTGTGTTTGGTGATAGGGCCAGGATTTCTGCAATGGAAGTGATTTAAAAATGAAAAATGAAGAGCATCGCTGATCTCATGTTAAGATACAGATTTCTGTTGGTGTAAGAACCTGTGCTGCTAGAAAATGTCTAACTGTGGTAATGGAAAAGATTAATAACAGTATAAAAAGTGATGTGAGCTTTGCAAATTATTTTCAGCGCCTTTGATTCAATGAGACTAAACTGATTTGTATTATTATTATTCCTTGCAGGACCAGTTTGACAATTTAGAAAAGCACACGCAGTGGGGCATCGATGTTCTGGAAAAATACATCAAGTTTGTCAAAGAAAGAACAGAGATTGAACTCAGCTATGCAAAGCAGCTTAGGTAAGTTGGCGTGCAAAGGTCTGCGCTTGGGGTTGCGTCTGTTCTGCAGTCATCTGTAAGCTCATGTTGCAGTGGTGGTCATTTGCTCGTTTATAATGGTTGCTGGTAGGTGGAGAATAGTTTCAGTTTGAAGATCTGCAAGCTAATTTAACATCACGTTTTTATCTCTGATAGCAATTGTGTTCTTTGTAACGGAGACGTTGTTTGGGCGGCTGAGCAGCATGCTAGGGCTTACTGGTGATGCACTCATGGTTCAGGGCTTGGGCTTTGGGGGACAGCTAGTAATATTTCCCATTAAACTATGACTGCAAATCAATTCTGAAGAGTTTAAGAATTCAACACCATAATGATAATTTGCTATAAAGGACAAACTTTAGGGTGGTTTTTTTTTTCTTTTTTTGCATGACAAGCTCATAAACAGTGTTAGAGAAACTGCAGGCCTGAAAGGCAGTCTCAACACTTGGAAATTTAGTCTGCATTTGAGTCAGATTGCAGCCTAAGATTTGTGCTTTGACAGTTTTACAGTCTTGCTGAAGTTCTTGCAGCGCGTCTCCTGAACAGAGCAGAAATCCATGGATTTATCTTGAGCAGCTGAATTACCAGAAGTTCTCGCTGGGTGTTTCCTGGGATGAACTCTGGGTTGTAGGTTAGGATACCAGGATGTGTGAACCTGCCCCAGAAAACTGGATCAGATGCAGGGTGAATGGAGAAGAAAGGGGATGAAGAGCCCTCCCACAGTGGCTAGCTCTTAGCCTGAGAGGAGGAGTGCAGTAATGGTGGGAATGGTGGCAGTCTGGGGAGGGGAGCACAGGACTTCCTGAGCCCTCCAGTACATCCATACCTTTTGTTCTGTGTGATTAGGTACGTTCTAACTCCTCCCATCTTCTCATTATTGATAAAGAATGAGATCTGTGCTTCTGGTTGTTATATATGTACACACACACACACAAAGCATGATGTCTATTTAAAAAAAAAAAGCCCAGATTTTTATGCTTTTTTTAGAACAGCTCATGAGATGAGCAATGGCCTGTTATTTACTAAGGGCTGGTAGTTGATAAAGGCCTGCCTTTATGGTTCTGTGCTTTCTCAGGGGAATGCCACAAGGATTCCCCAGGGTATCTGCTATAGACAAGCAGGAAATTGAAAATGAGTTGTGCAGGAACAAATTGCTCACATCCTATGGAGATGAGGTTGAATTACAAAGGCAAAATGAGCTGGAAGAAACGTAGTATGAGTAAACCAGGAAAGCCCAGCACAGTATCTGTGTGAGTAAGTCTGTCTTACAGAGAATGACACCCTTGAATCTCTGAATTTCTTGGGATGATGAATTTTAGGTGTAAGGAGCATAATTGTGAAATCAAGTGAATAAAGAATATGTTTAAGGAAAACAGGAGAGAGTCACAAAGTGTTCAGAGGCTGTGAACCCCCAAGTTTCGTCTCTTTTTCTGTCCCAGAATTCCAGAACAAACTTAGTCTTGTTCTTTTTTTCTCCTCTGTTTAATTGCATGCTCATAGTTACATTTGTGCCTTCCCCATGGGTAAGATTTAAAGACAAATAATACATTCATCCTTGAGGAGCCCTGAAATGCAGTGCTGTTTGGAGCTATCTGAGAGTTTGAAGTACAAAGGGAAAAAGGCAAAGCAGACCTGTCAAATGTTGAGATATAAAACAGTTCAGGCCATTAAAAATAAAAATAAATCATACATCTGCTTTTAATAAATTTCCTCTGGCCTGTGGCAAACTTTTTGTGTGTCACATGGATTTAGTACAGGGGCTGCAGTGGAGGGCTCACTCATTGCTGCATTTGGTTTTGACCTTCAGCTGGATGTGGACACGTGGGGCACTGCTGCCAGTGGCAGAGTGGCGCTCCCTGGTGCTCCTTATCTAGCTGCTTGCTGCACACAGACTGAGCTTCAGAAAGTGCCAGAAGCCTAATGTGAAGATGGATAGACAGCTTTGAGGGGGACAGATTCAAAGAAAGATGCCTTGCATGTCAGGATGCTTTGGGAATCAAGAACCTCTGATGTATGGTAAATGAGAGAGGAAGAACAAGATGTCGAAGCAGTGGAAGTAAGGAAACAAAGAAGCAAGCTGGAAGGGCAGAAGGGTGATGCTGAATGAAAGGCAAACAAATGTGAATCAGAGGCAGGTGCACAGGCTAGCACAATCTTTTCTGAATTGCTATTTTATTGCTGATCTGTCATCTTATGTCTTAATTTCTTCTTTAATCACAGTTAGATTTGAAGGTCATTGCTTTATGAGCTTGAACCTGAGAAATACCAGTATTATGGCCGTGACACTGTAGAACTGCATGCTGAACTTCAGCATGTGAGAGTCATAGTGGCTCTTAATGGATTCAGTATCACTTCTGGGTTCAGTATCACTTCTGTTTTTTTGTATGTATCCTGGTTAAAGCCTTGCATACTATTTTGATGGGGGGAAAAAAAGCAGAGGAAAACCATAATTAAATCCAAATATAAAGAACACGTTTTCTGAGTGCATTACAAAATACACAGAAACCAATAAGAAGTTGAACAGAGTTGCTAATCCTTACTGTATTTTCTGAATCCTTTTCCTGTGAAAGCACATGCTTCCTGCTGGTTTTTACCCCAGCCCAGCAGCATTTCTGTACCTTCAGAAGCTCAGAAGACAATAGTTTGTATGTCAGGATTTACTGGGTGGCACAGTACTGAATGAAGGGAGGCATGCATTTTGTAGGTGTGAAAATACCTTATCGTGCCGTCTTCAATGTGTTTCCTTGTTTTTCACTTTCCTCTTTAAGCAGATTTATGGAGGCCTTTCTGTGCTGCATACAGTATTTGTAAGACTTACTGTGACCTCACAGAACAGTTTGCACAATGCTTGCTGTGCTGATATTTAATTGAAACTGCTGTACACAGAACTGGAGAAAAGCTCCTTGTTGCAGAGCATCGCCTTCTCAGAGAAGGCGCAGGCTGGAATGGAGATACTTGGGGGCCTCCCAGGAGGAGTACTTCTGTTTGGAGGAACACGTGTGTGTGCAAGCCTGACAGCTTTCTGGCTATTGCTCTGTTTGGGCAGATGCTGCTTAATTCCATAGGGGAAAAAAACATGAGTAAGAAATGTGAGGGAAGAGGACCTCCTGTTTCCCAGTGAAGCAGTAAAAACAGCATGCAGTGGGGATTGGGTTACATCCCCGAAAAAGCAGGGTTAGCAGTGGTGTGTTTTGTTTTGTTTTTCACTGAGATGCATTCTGGGAGCTCTCCAAAGAGTTTGCCATATACAGGCCAGTGGCATTTCTTAGTCCCTCTGAAAATGATTCCATCAATCCCACTTGGGTGTCGTTTGGAATCAGTAAAAACAACTTGTGAGGTTAAAACAAACGGTTCCTATTTCACTGCGAGGTAACAGAGGCTGCAGGAAGGCAGAAAGGACTAAGGCTGAGTTTAGAGTGCAAGAGATCCCAGTGCTGCAGCTCTAAAAAGGTCTGCTGGGTAACATTTGTCAGCTCTCAGGTTTACATGGTTTAAAACGTGTGGAGTTGCATTTGCTATAGTCTATGCCTTGTAATTCTGAGCTTTAAGCATCAGCAAGGGGTGCTGAGTGATGGGCAGACAGTCCTTTAAAGCCTAGATTTGCTGCTGACCGGGAGCTCACATTTAACTTCTAGGAAAATGAAAGCTATGTTGTAAGGTAGATGTGCTAACAGAGTTATGTTCAGCTTCTTTATTCAAGATACAATCACTGGAAAAGCATATCAGTATTTTAAAATGGAGTCATTAGTTGGATATGTAGTGATGAGATGCAGTCATCTCTGCTAATTGGGATAATCAAATTTCATATTCCTGCCAGCATGACTTAATGATCACAAAATGATCCTGGTGCAGCTTCTCACAGCTTTACTAAGATTGCTTCTCTTCCTTGGAAGCATCCTGCAGGAGATGAGCAGACTTGCTTTGTCACGAAGGTCACCTGCAGGAAATGGCGCCGTACTGAGCTGGCAGCTTTGGGTCTGGAATGGCACCTTCTGCTGGGTGCACTTCTTAACCTTGTCTGAGGATCAGGAGAGGACTGTAAAGAGAACGGGACTTGTGCTTCAGCAGAGCTGGAGCTCGGGTGCATTGACTTCATGACTTGAGGTTATGAATTTCTCAGGTCCAGAACTTGAAGTTATGCAAACTGAAGCACAGATATGGATGGGCCCTCAGGTGCTGCTGCAGTGCAGCCACGCTTCTGACAGGGCAGATAGCTGGTGAATGCAAACCAAAACTGAAGTGTTTGTGTGTGCGTGCAAGAACTATCCGCTTAGTTTGAAGGGGATTTTTAATTGTCTTTGTTTTTGATTTTAGGAATCTTTCAAAGAAATATCAACCCAAAAAGAACTCCAAAGAAGAGGAAGAGTACAGGTGAGTTCACGAGGTACTGCTAGGTGAGCATGCATGATAGAGGAAGGGGGAGAAGGCTCTGTCACCTGCTGGGATTTGCCTAGTCAAGCAGTGCAACACAGAGGTTGTTCCTGCTATTGAGGAATGGAGTTTTAAGCAAGTTTGGAGCTTAAGAGCCTAGTAACTGTTCAATTCCCTTTAAATGTTCTGGGCACTGTCTTTTTTTTTTTTTTCTGTGTACCTTAAAGTCTTCAAGGCAGACTATTCAATCCTGGCTCTTTGAAGTGGATGACCAAATTCTGATTAGCTCCAGCAGCAACAGAAGCCACTGTTAATTTTAGCATGAAACTTGGGCAGCCTGTGCAAGTATTAAATGACTCAAAAGACTGACAAGGCAGATTAGTATATTTCTTAAAGGATCATAACACCACAGGAGAAGTCGGTGGCTCTTGAAGGGTGGGAGATGCAGTTTGTACAGGCAGCGTCCTGGAATGGAGGAACGCATGACTGGCAGCCACTGAAGGATGCTGCATCACCCATCTACCTGCTTCTGATTTAGGTTCAGATTGTGTCTCCCTGGTGGCCGGGGACTGACATAGCATTTGCAGACAGCAACTGCAGGGTCAAAGCACAGCTCCTTTGCTCTGTGACACTGGAAATGCATATGGATGATAGTAAACCGTGCCATGAAAAACATTCCTTCCCTTGATCAAAGTTATTCTGTAAAGGGAGCTTTCTAGAACAGAAGCTTTGCAATGCATGGGCTACGTGTCAGAGTTGAAACCTTTTCCTTAGAGCACTCTGGCTTTTTCTAAAATTACTCCACTTCAGTGTTTTGTAATTCATCAGCTCTGAATGAAGGCACCGCAGAACATTCTGACCCTGCAGCACTTTACTGCAGGAGGCTGATCTGCTTTCTTAGAGTCTAGCAGCAGACTTGAACCCTTGACCTTGAAATCTGAAGCATTTCACATGAGTTTGGACTCCAGTCCAACTCTTTGGTTATACTAACTTGGATTTTGGGGTCAGGACCCCTTCCCACCTGCTGTGTACAGCTACTTGAGTCATTCACATTAACCAACACAACGGCCTTTTCATTTTGCTTTTGATTCATTTTTAGTCACGTTGTGTGGGAATCAGTTATTGATGCTATTGTTTCCTAAAACACTGATATTTACACAAGGAAGCTCGTATTACCAGCACAATGGCTGTTTTTATTTGTACTTGGCATTAGGAAGAAATGTCCCTTTGGATAGCTATACCATAAGTGGTATTTTGATACCATTCACTCAATAATTTTGAGTTTACTACTAGGTTTTGTGGTTGGTTGTTTTTTAACACATCCTCATCTGCTGTAGAAGGCCAGTGCAGCTAAATGACACAGAAGATTCTGTGTCTCCTTTGACCTTTTACAGGGGGTGTTCACCTCAGCATACTTCCCCTGTGTCTCTAAATAACATCTGGGGGTTTGTCATGCGGCCTTTGGCTGCCTTGGATGCTGCATTCAGATAGTCACAAATCCTGTTTTCAAGCTTATTGCCAGTCTGCAGTTCTGTCTTTGATCCCCTACCTTTTGCAACTGGGATGTCCCTCGAGGCCCTGCAGCTTGGCTTTGAATGGAGCTGCTTACATTGGTTTGGGTCTCTTTTCTTAACTATCTTTATCCTGTTTTTTCTTTCATTTCTCTGATGCCTTTCACCCCTCTCACCATTCCTCTTTGTCCTCTAAACCTCTCCCCTTTTTCTTTGGATCTTCACCTAAAAATGTTTTTATTGCAGGTGACTACTATTAATATAATAGTTTTGCTAAATATAATAGTTTTGCTAATGTGTACAAGTGCAGTGCTTCAGAGCAGCTGTCTTCCAGCTGACCAGCACAAGCAGAGGAATTTAAATGCAGCTCTGTTGGCTCACTGCTGAATGGGCCAGTGACATAATGTGCTGTTTTTGAAACTGTGTGCACAGATGTTCATTTCTCCCTTTAAAAAACAGATGAAATGTTGTACTGGAGATTATCTAACATGAAAAAATAAACCTTGCAATGGGAGGTTTAAATGCAAAATGTATGGGTTTATGGTGAACACGTGGTCAGTGAACTCACTGTCTTTCTGAAAAGTTTGTAAATTATAGCTAATCTACATCCAGTTGGCACTTGGGAAAGTTGTCTTTTCTGCACTGTGCTGCCAAAGGCTGGTGGTTTAGGTTGGATTTTGCCAGGCAGGGTGCATTGGTGACTCTGTGCCGTGGAGTGCTGGGCTTGAAAGAGTGTAACTGGAAAATGGTGAGTAAAGATGAGTGCAGTGAAGTCCCAGAGCTGTGCTGATAAAACATCTGGCACTCTGAAAGTGCCGTATTTTAAGAGCTGATGTCAAACTGTCTAAATCAAGATTAAGTTATCAGACAACTGTCAGTGTTTGGGCTAGGCTTTCTTTTGAAAAACTCTTTCATGTGAAACTGTGCTAATCCGTATTTAGTCTCATGCAGCAATTGTAGATGTTTAAGGATTCACCCTCCCTTTTCAGTGTGTATTTCTGGAAAGAAAGGGACTAAAAGCAAAATGCATTTTTGTCCTCTGCAGGTACACATCAACTAGAGCCTTCCTAGCCACTTTAAATGAAATGAATGACTATGCCGGACAGCATGAGGTCATTTCAGAGAACATGACCTCTCTGATCATTGGAGAGTTAACTCGCTATGTGCAGGAGCTGAAACAAGAGAGGAAATCGGTAATGGAATGTTTTTTATTATTCACAACTGCTTGCTACGTAAGACAGATAATTAGTGGCAGCGGAGTTCAGTGTTAAGCAAAATTAATCTGCAGTTAATAAACATGAGCTTCGTTAATGAACCAGGCATTAAAAAAGTGGGTTACGAGCCCTGGCCAAATCGCTGAACCTTTTGAATTATATGTTATAAAAGCAGACAGCTACGCCTTCAGGAGATGCCTGCTAAATAAGGTCAGAGACCCATCTGTGCTTAAGGCTCTGCTGGCCAAAAGCTTGTGTAGGGAAGAGTCCAGCAGCACCACGTGAAGCATGAAATAAACAGAGAAGCTGTATTACTAAACCGATGGAGACAATTAATAGGAAGTTGATTCATGTCTTCTTGCTTCTCAACCAGATCTGATCAACCAAACCTTCCCATTAGATGTCTGTTTTTAAGAACTACGGGGTCTGCTTTGTTTTGGTGCTACTGAGGAATCTTTCAACCTGTCACTCTCAAGACTGCTAAAATGAGGAGTTTGTTAGTACTTTATTTTAAACAGTGGTTTATGAGCCCGTGTGCCTGCCACCATGAACGTTTAAAGCTGATGAATTTGTATGTCACCAGCTCTGAAAGGCATTTAGTTGAGATGTGATGGCTTTTTTTCCCCTGCCTTGAACTCCTATCAGTGGGCATAAAATGCTGTTTGTAAGCATTATTGTTAAAAATACTTGTAAACCAAACATAAAATAGCTAAGCAAAGTTCAGCAGGCGAGGGAGCATCAGACAACATCTCTCATTTCCATGCAACCCCTCATTTCCATACAGTCAAACTATTGCAAAGTGAAAAGTACCCTTGCTGGTCCAGCAAAAACGTAAGCATTTATAAATAGCCCCAGTAAACATTAAGAGTACATTGAAGTGCTTTGCAAGACTCGAGTCTGAAATTGTCCATATTTTCCCAAGTTTAGTATGAGAATAAGCCTGCAATGGAATGTGGACACATCTTTCATTTGCAGAATGGTGGTGGTCTTTCAGGGGCACATTTGGCCCGCAGCATGGAGGTATGTTTTGCATATAGCTGGGATCGGAGAGTGACCTCAGCCATTTCTATGAGCTTTTGTTCTGGGTGAATTCTGTACAATATGCAAAGCCACAAAAGTGAAAACCATCTGTGCGGCGTTTGCCTGTCACTTCTGATTTTGTTACCTGATTTTGAAATTACAAGGATTTATAAAGTGATTGGGATACCTAATAGATGTTTTAAATGGAATTATGAGGGGCTTGGTATCTTGTAAAGAATGCAAGCACTAACTGTATTGCTTGTTTGTTTCATTTGTAGAGCTTTATTGTAAGTTTGGCTCACAGCATGAATGACAGCAAAGTATTTTAATATCAGCCCAGCAATGTACCATAGGAACAGCAAAAAGGATCTGGTGGTCTGTTTACCTGCTGGTGGTGATAAGTCAGCTTTTAGCAGAAGGCAGCTGTCAGTCATGGTTGCTTGTTTTGTTCTTGTCACATGAATATAAACTGTGTGAATTATGAATCCTTGTCTGATTCCTTTGGACTTATCGTTTGCGAGCAAATGGTGTTGAAAAGGAAATTGCTTCTCCCTTCAGGCATATTTCATATCATAAAACACAAATGCATCCATCACACTCGGATCTGCACGGCGATTGTTGTGGAAATATCACAGGTCTGATGCTCTGGCAAAACCTCGTGAGATACGAATTGATGGATAGCTTGCAGTTTCTAGAAACGTTGCTGGCAGAGCTCTCATGCTCTCTGTTTGATTCATAATCAGCTGTTATGTAGAAGCTGCTGTAAGTAAAAGGTGATCCTTCCTGAGGGTAGGACCACAGAGAGGAGTTGGAAGACTCATATTCTTCTTCAGTCTCGTATCATTTGGATTGAGTATTCACGTGTCTAAATACCTGTTTAAAAGAAAAAAAAGATCAATGTCAGTCAGTTCAGTTTTATTTTGCTGTCCATAGGATAGCCCCCTCTGATGTTAGCCCTGCCTCAGGCTATGTGTTTTGTCCCTGCAGTCTCTGGAGTTAACCATCCACCCTGCCTCCTCTTTACCTACGTTGCCTGTACGTAAGATGGAGAACTCCCTGCACTGTTTCAGTTCTTCCTTGCTCTCCAGTGAAGTGAAACTCTTAACAGTACAGTTCCTCACTTTCACTTCTTTCTGGAATCTCTTGCTCTTAGACAACACAAGCTATTGTGTTGTCTTCAGCAAGGATCTTGCTGCGTGTTTTCAAGCTAGAACGTCAGTTCCAGGCTTCTCAAGAGAGAGAATCTAGGTATTTTCTCAACCCTGGTTAAGAAAGACCCTCAATGCTGTGATGTCTCTGGATAGAAACTCATACATTCATTTTTGGATGATTTCAGAACTCTGCTCACTGGGTCTGACCCAGTCCTCTCTGGCAGCAGCTGCTCTCTGTCTCTAGGTGGCCACTGCTCTCACATCAACTTTGCTAAAAATGTCTTTGGGAGTCATGAACTATCCCTCTTGTTACTGCTTCTGCTTTCACCTCCACCTCCCCTCGGGCATCGGCTGGCTCCGTGCAATCGAGCCTGAAAGTAAAGTGCAAGCCAGCAGGTCTGCTGCAGACTGAACTGGTGCAGCACTGGGACCCTGTGGTTGGGGAGAATTTACCCGGTGTCAATACGTTCCATTTTGTGTCAGGATAGAAGCAGAGCAGGGAATGAATGCATCCTTATGGATACTGCAGGGGCAAAAACGGTCTGGTTCTTCATAGTGGAGCATATGCACCCTCCCTGTGTGCATTCATCCTGGGGGTGTACGTGTCAGAGAGCTTTCTGTTTCTTGTAGACTCTCAGGTGTTGATGAAAAGTAAATAATTGGAGGAATTCTGCAGCATTCGTTCATTCTGAATAGTGCCCTGTTCTGCTAATAGTCCTGTGGTTTTCAGCAGGATTTCTCATGGAGCGTTGCACTGTGCAAGCATGAAACAGGATGGCAGAATACAGCCCTGTCATGTGCACAATGGATTTTCCAAACTGAGCTATGGGTGTGCTTTAGGCCTTTATTTGGAGCACAGCTGCATTTTGTGCTGCAGAGATACAGAGAAATGTTGCTGTCTTCCAGAAATCACAAACTCAATAGACAAAGTCTGTGGGATGAGGAGATGTGTTGAAAGGAAGTGCTTTGCCGTGCTTCAAACTTTGGATTGACTGCATTCAAATTGAGCTTTCCTCAGCTTTTGTTCTGTTACCACTTACAGTTTATGGTCCAAAACAATGGGGGGTAGAAGTATTTAATTTAAATAGGATATCTAAATTAGGATCAAATAGTAAGTTATGTTGCCAGGTAGAATCTTGCAGGACCTGTTGATGACCAGAAAGAAAACTTTGGACACTGTGGGAGATTCTGAGAAGGTACCCAGCTTTGCAGTGTGACCCCAGCAAGGGTTAGGGTGTGAGAATGGACCACAAACCTGCAAGTTACTGTAGACATTATTGTTGGTGTCTTCTAGCTTTATGCTCCTTATTGGCCCTGTTCACATTTCCAGGTAGGCACGATCAGCTCGTTCTGTTTGTCTGGTGCAGCTAATGTAGTCTTTAGAGCCTGAGAAACAGAAGTCTTGGTCGTCTGTGTCTCACTGGCTTGCACCACTCCAGGAGACAACTGAATTAACATCAGCTTTGCTTAGATTCAGACTTGTTTCAGCAGAGTTACATGTTGAGGTGAATAATCTTCACTCTGAAGACTGTGCAGGTGAAGGAGGCAGTGTCACAATACTAAGAAGAAACTGTGATGAACGTGCAAAGCCAGGTGTGTGTTTCATGTCACCGTTCACAGGGCTCCTGTACTACGTCATCAGCAACGAGAATGGCAGGGCCTCAAGACCATGTTGTTATTCTTGGGAACAACTAATTCTCAAGAGGCTGTTTCCTATCTTTGCTGTCAGGAAAGGAAAAGCATTTGTCAAGGTTTTCTGCGAATTAAGCTGGGAAAATGGAGGAAAAAATAATGTTCTCTGACTTCCGTCTCTATCAATGCTTTTGTCACTGGTCATTATTTTAAGTATCATTTGTGATAAAAGCGAAGATAGTTTGACAGAGATCAGGAAGCACTACATTGGTAGGACTGACTTTTTATTGTCCATTCTTATGAGCTGAGGATGCCTGTTACAAAAAGTCAAAGGTAACTGGTTTCTGCACATGTAGTCTAGTTTGGGTGTGGGAAAACTGAAGGGAAAATGAAAAGGCCTTGTACTGTATCGTATCTCTTCAGATCTTGAACAGGTTGTGGTCAGATGAACAGCGTGCTCTGCGTATAAATGAACTAGAATAGTTTTTCTGACTGTATTGTGTATAACATATATATTTTTCTCCTCTTTATTTTTATAACTCAAACAGATGCTAATGTGCAGGTCTTAAATCTGACCGTGCAGTCAATTGCTGTTTACTTCCCTAAAAAAAGCAAGGCTTAAATTTTTAAATATATTTTTTTAAGCCTTTCATAAGTCAGTTATTCCCTGTGGTTGGGTTTTGGTCCAGCACCATCAGCCCTGCTGTCATGCTGGTGTTCTGAGTGGCTGAGGCAGTCCTTTCATTTAACACTGCCCAGGAGCTCCTCAGCAAAATCACTGCATTGCATGGTTCTGTGTAAGATGCTTCTCAGTCCATCTTGCTTTTCTTGGAACGCTCTCAAAGGGTCTCTGAAAGAAAGTAGACAAGTCATCTTCTACCATGCTTTTCTTGTCTGCTCCGTGATTCTGCAGCTCTGTCGGCCCTTCTGGGTACCAAGAAAACTTGGCAATCATCTCCCCCTGTCCTCCTTATCGTGGTGTTGGCAGTAACAGGCGTTCTATTGTAGGTGACTCTCTAGCTGCTCCCAGGGCTTTCATCAGCGTGGATGAAATCTGAGCCTAACAAAAGTCAATGGGAGTTTTGTCCTGATTGCGCAGCAGCCGGGATTTCTGCACAGCTGTTACAAATGCAGCACGGCGACAAGGAGAGCGCTCTGACTGGTGTGGCTTGGTTTGGAAATGAAATGCTTGGCATACAGTTGGTTGTTGCCTGGATTTCCTGCTTGTCCTTTACTGCAGCAAAACGTTCCTTCAGCTGGGATCCTTTAGAGTGTCCCTAGTCGTGGATGGAGGCATGTGAATGGCCATTGCTCAGAGCACGCTGAGCATCCTGAGGACATTGTGCTCAGTGCATAAGGAAAAAGGACAGCTGTGCTCACATAGCCAGCGTGGCTTGGGCTTCGCTGCTGTTTTAAGCTATTTAGTAGGTCTCATACTTGGATAAAGTAGTTTTCAGGAAAATCTCAAAGTTGGCATGGTGATTGCTAGCGTCAGTCTCATAAGAGTAGATTAAAAGGTGGTTTGGGGAGATAAAGCAATGAACACTATCAGAAACAAACCTTTCACTGTGGTATTTTATTAACAGTTGACGTGCTTGCAGCTCTCTGTGAGTGAAGGTTTTAGAGCCTTCTCCCTGTTACATGCTCCTTGATTTTCTTCTGTGCAGGTTTTGTAACCTGTTGTACCACTGATTTTATTAAACCTGCCTCACAGATGTTTATTTTTTTACATCCAGAACTGCTTTTTCACGTGCATTTCCAAGGCTGTCAATGTAGAAAGGAGCCTGGAGAAAACCGCAGCACTTAAACAACCAGCGCCACTGTTGGAAATGTCTGAGTGGCTGCTTGGAGTGTGATTCATGAGCTTGGTATCTCGCTTGTGATCTGAAAGGCTTTAAATGGAAAGCCTGATTAGGGTGTATCAGTTTGGCTGTTCAATTTGGAGGAGGAAAGAAGTCTGTATTATATCAACTATTCTAAATTGATTACTGTAATGTGCGTGACTGACTGGGATGGCAGTTTCCCATAGCATTTGCTGAATCATTTGTTGAGTTCCTGTTTGCTCAATCACCATATGTAGAGTAAACCAATCATTATTGCATTTGATTAGGAAAGAAAAAAAAAAAAGAATCTTTAAATCGTGCACCTTGAAACCGTATCAAGAAGGAAATGATCTTTATTTTTACTAAATTAAAAAATAAAAAGAAGCCCAAACAGCTGAAAGGACATTTGCTGCATCAGAAGATTTTAAAGTATGTAAAAGGAAATGGGATTGCGGAAGTTGAAGATAGTGAGGGGTTTGAGGAAGCTGCATGCTTCCTATATGACTCTGAGCACATCACTGCACCACAGTCTCAGGCTTTTTTAACCATAAAACTGGGACAGTGATAAAAAGGCAGGTAGCTGAAAGGGCATCAGTGCTATCACTGTATCTAAAAGTGATTTTTCGGGATGCAGAAATGATCCCTTGAGCATAAATGATTTGCAAAAGCAGAAGTGCTGGGCTTGGTATGTTTTTCATCGTGTGCAGCTCTCTTCCCCCAACAAGGATGTATGGGTGTCAGCAAGAACTGCGAGTTATGAATGGAGTTAGGTAACAGTTGGACTTAGGAAAACAGACTGTTCAAGTGGCACCTCCAGAATGTGGTTCACCTGTGTACATCAGGCTGGCACTGCACACGGGCTCTATTGAATAATCCTCAGAAATGCCCACTTTATATCCCATTCCTGTAAAAGGACTTCTCAAAAATGCAGCAGAATATGAACAGCATGCAGCCTTCCTGCTCTCTGCTATGCTGGGATGCACTTGGGCCAGTTTTAGGTAATTCCCTAAGACGGAGTGGGGAAAGAAGACGGATGGCTCCTGCAAAAATAAAATTACACTGCTGATTAACAACAAAGGAGTTCAAAAATAGGAGCTGAAGGCAGTTTTGTTACTTGATATGCTGTTAATTTCAAGTCCATCCTTCAGCCCTTGCATGCAGCTGTGTTCCGTTCAGTAACAGGGTGTGCTCTTCCCAGAGGCTCATTGGCAGTGCTGGGCTCCAGGCAGCACGGCTGTTCTGTGATCCAGTCCCTTCAGACCAGCAAAGTCAGAGGTGGAGGAGAGGGAAGCAGGCAAGGAGGGGCCGAGGGAGGCGGCAGGCAGGAAGTGCAGTGTGGAGGCAGCCAAGTTAGTGTTGTTTGTTTTGCTTCCCTGCTCAGGATTTCCACATGTTCCATGCTTATCAGCAAAATGTTTTAAAATGTGGCGTTAAATTGTAGCTGTTCCTTGGGATGGTTTTCTTAAGCTCTTAATTACAAAAGCAAGCCTGAAATTGTGAACATTTCAAATCCTCCTAGTAAGGAAGATACGGCCCACGGTCGCATACAGCATTTACAGGAAATGGGAATCTACAAAAGGAACTGAAATCTGCTTGGAATCTTCCCCCACCACCCAGCAGTTTCACAGTCGTGTTTGTGATTGAATGTCACAGTGCAGTGACTGAGCTTTGAGGAAGCATAGCACGGTTTGAACTCCCCACGTATTATCAGAGCTGATGACAAACGGGGCTGGAAATCACTTCTCGTCTGCATTGCCCTCAGCCCCACTGCTGCACGTTGGCTGCTCACGGAAGGTTGGACCGTGATGGTTGATCTGAGTGCTGCTGTGCTGACAGTTAAAGCATCACTGATGTTGTGCCTCTCTCCTCTGCTTCAAGAATGGTTGTGTGGAGGTGGGCGCCATCCAGAACGTGAAAACTGTTGTGTCCCTATGTTCATCTTACAGTTACACACAGCTCCTTAACGATGGGGCTCAGGACTGCACCTAGCACTGTCTGGAGTGATTGGGGCAGTGCACTGCTTGTCTGTTCTTGCAGGCACATGGAGGCTTATGATTCTAAGGCAATGGAAGTCTATTGGCATGGTGTGAGAGAATTGCAGTTCTGTGGCTTTCTCCTTCTCATGAGTTGGGGCTGGCTTGTCTGGTGGAGGCTGAAAGGCATTGGGGAGGCATTGCTAGAATGATATACTACAGAAATGTGCTGCTCTGACAGAGGGAACAACCTGCTGCTGCAGTGGGAAGTGCACAAAGTCCATCATGGCCAGTTGGAAGGAGACTGCCTGCATGCACTTGATGACTTCAGTGGTTTGTGGAAGGCTTCTGTTCTGAACTGGGGGTTTCTCTAACCTGACACATTGACACTGCGTTACTTGAGATGCATTTACCACCTGATTCTGCACGTGCCAGACAATGCGTGCCTGTTGCAGGGATTAATTGGCAATGTCAGACCTTTATTGTTGAAGTTTACTCTGTAAGACCACATCTGTGTTTGAGTAAAGCATCCTACTTGTTAGTAAATGACACAGTGGGCAGGCGTCTCTCTTGCTATTCTAGATTGTTATTTATTTTGCAAGGTGCTTTGTAAGGAGAGCAGCCTGTTGTAACAGTTGGCTGGGTGCTGCATTCATATTCGTGGTCCCTATTTACAACTGTGTCATTGATTTATGCAGTGATCTTTGACAAATTGCTTACCATGAGGACAGGTGAGGCGTGCGGGGGATAGAGGGAGGAGTATCTGAAGCATATTAGGTTCTCTGATGAAGACCATTGTGTAAGGGCTAAGAACTGCAATTTAAACTGTCTGTAATTAATATAATTATGAGCCTTGCTCTAAAGGGCGTGTCAGGATACGTTCCTTGTCACTCATATTTCAGAGCTTCTCTAACACCATGGTGTGCACACGGTGTATAGGAGAGAATGGTTGCTGGGGGACCCGAAGTATTGAATATCTCTGGAGAAACCAGGAGTTGGATTTGCAGATATTCAGGGAGTAGGAAGGCGAGGTTTGCTGTTGAGTCTGAGTGGAAGTCAGGGCCAATAGCAGTTGTTAGAATGTGCTAATCAAGGGCATCTTGGTAAATTCCATGCAGAGAGAAATTGTGATGTAGGGTCAATGTGCAGTCAGTAACCAGAGGGATCACATTCACCTAAAAGCGCTTCAGATTTCATAGCGTGAGAAACCAATAATTACGAGATACAGGGAATAATGCAAGGTAGAATTGCTAAAAGGATTAATTGGATTTAAGCTAACTAACCACTATAATAAATGCAAATACACATCTGCAGCCTGCTGAGACATCAGATAGTCATCATCCACCTGCTCAATTTACCAGGGTTGCAGAACACAACTGTCAGAATAATTTGTTTTATTCTGGAAAATTATATTCTGTTCTTCATTGCTGGTGAGGAGGCCCTTGAACATAATTGGCAATTTGGTCCTTTGTTGTTGAAAATGCTTCCTTTTCTCTTTTTCTAAACAGCACTTCCACGATGGCAGAAAGGCACAACAACATATTGAAACTTGCTGGAAACAACTTGAAGCTGTAAGTGGAAATTTCCTCAGCTGTGATGCTCAAGTCATTTTTATACCGTTTTTGCAGTGTTCCAGAGTTCATATTTAGAAAACAAAGGGTGGATGAAAGCTGGAAAATGTGATCTTTTAAAACTTCACTGTCTAAAATCCAACAGTAGGCATGGCAGTTTGTTTAGAGTGCTTTGGCTTTCCATGGGGTCTGTGTATTAAAGTAGCATTTTGTTGCATCTGACTTGAAACGCGTGCTGAGCGTTAATCAAGGTGCAGCGTCCCTGAGGATCCTTCTCAGATATTCCTCCATAAGCTGAATAGCTCCTCCTGATGCATAAATCAAGTGCTATCGTCTCCTGAGTAAATGCCTGTTTCTCAGAAGTAAATGCATTGGTTTGGACCTCAGCATTCATTATGAACTGGTGAGAAACTAGGTGGAGAAGATAAGGAAAGGGGACATTGGTAGCTAGAAGCCCTGCTTGTGAATGAATGCAGCTTAGAAACTCCCTTGTTGTGTATTATAAAAATGAGAGATTTAAGTGTTGGAAGGAAGCAATCTGGTAAACCAGAACAGAAGAAACACTGATAGGGAAAGATATTGAAATAGCAGAGATGTTATGAACGAAGATGATATGGAATGAAGTAGTCTGAAGCATGGAACAAAAAATGTGTTGGTTTTTTTTTTTTTTTAACATGGAAATGTGTCCCAATATAAACAAGCAAGTCATAGAATCTCCTCAGTTGTTACAGCAGATATTTTAGGGGTTGGCTATTGACTTCTAAGTGGATTTTGAACTTGTGTTTTTCCTTGCAGAGTAAAAGGCGGTTTGAACGTGACTGCAAAGAAGCCGATCGAGCACAGCAGTATTTTGAGAAAATGGATGCTGATATCAATGTTACAAAAGCAGATGTTGAGAAGGTAAGCCAGAGGGTAGAGAAACTGTCTGTGAAGATTGTTGTGATGGGTTTAATTCCTCAGTCCTGCTGGTAGTATAAACCTTCTGAGGCTTAATGCCTCAGTCCGTAGGTTAGTTAAAATAGGGAGGTCTCCCCAGCTGCTTGTATTTGCATACAAATTATAAATGCAAGCAGTCAAATTTCTTCAGTAAGATGGTATCAGGGTTTAATGTAGCTGATGTGGCTCTAAATACAGTTATGCAAAATGGGGTGTTAGTTACAATCCATAGTTTTTAACAGTCAGGCGTGTGAGTGCTCCCTGCACGTGAGTGCTTGTCATTACTGTGTGATCCTGGTACAGTCCAACTTCTTTCCATGCTGAGCAGCACTTCAAAATGTCCTGGTGTCACTGACTGCAGTGATGTTCTACCAGGAGTGTTGATTGTGGTCCTCATTTACAACAGGATGCCTTTTCACTTTGGTGTTTGCTTAAACAGTGCAGAAATGCAGACCAGAATATGATGCGTAAAGCTGGTCTCGTCTTCACAGAAAAGTTTGGTTCACAAGATATTAGATAGAATATTGGACATGTTTCTTTCTTTTAAAAAAGCTGAAATTTATTTGTACCAAACGTCTTGCTGCAAGATTGGGAAATGAAATTAAACTGCAGGCAAAAAAAAAAAAAAAAAATTGTGGATTTTGCTCCTCAAGAAGTCTGCTTCCATTCTGTTATCAGTGAATTCAGTCCTAGGAAGCTATCAAATGCACCCATGGGATCTGAAAAAGTTTCTAGTATGCTGAGCATCACGGAAGTTGTGCAGCAGTTTGCATCACGGTTGCAATTAGGAAGAAGCTCAGGAAATCTCAAGTGTTACTGGACGTCAGAAGGAACCAACAGCTACGTGCTCTTGTCATTTGCTGCTTGGCTGTTAGCTGAAAACTCGCCCTTCAGATCTGATTATCTGTCACCTTCTGGATTTGCCAGGACACTCTATGGATGAACGTGTGTAGGGGGTTTTCAGAGATGTAAGGCCACGTGCAGGTTTTTCTGGCAGAGAAGGATCATCTCTGCCTTAACTGTATAAAGTGATTCTAAAATACATTATTTGAGAGATAAAATTAGGACTTACCCTAGATTTTTTTCTAAGCTGAGGTCATGTTAAAGGAACAGAGACATGACTTCCACTGTAGGGGGGGAAAGTAGGGGGCTGAAACTCCTTAGTTCTACCTTTGATGCGAGCCTCTTCTCATCAGAGTGAAAGGTCGTGTGTTAAATTCAAGGAAGCAGCCCTTACCCTTACAGGGTGCTCTTTCCCTGTAAAGTAGAGCAGAGGGGCTTCCCTTCTAAATTTCTCTGGTTTTTGGTTGTTTTTATAGCGTGTATTTGTAAATCACTTATTGCAAAATGAAGCTCAGCAGCATCTTGAAAGGCAGAAAAAGTCTGTGGCAGCGATGCGTGTTGGCTGATCTCTGGAGAAGGCATTAGTCGGCTTTCCAGTCAGTCCGTGGAGTAGATGGAGAAGGAAAAGGTTATCAAAACGAGTGGAATGTGAAATAATATTACTGAACAGAGAGAACAGTGTTTTCCAAGTGCATGTGTTAAACTGGGTTCATCCATGCCAGGCTGTGAATAATGCCCTTTCTTTGCTGCTCTCCACCCACGTGACAGGCTCTGCCTTACGTAAGCCCCCCAGAAAATAAGATATTGTTCCCCTGGAGCTGCTGCCAGGGCTGCGCGGGACTCGCTCCAGGGAGATGCAGAAACTGCTGGTTTCCAATGATGACTTTTCCCTCCTTCTATTGCAGCAGTTCTGATTTCTCTTGCCCCTCGCAGCTTGGCTGCTCAGTCTTGCTCCCGAAAATCCATCTGGCCAGGAAAGCAGACGGCCTGGCTGTGTTCAGAGCCACCACCGCTCGCTTTGGCTGACCAAGGTGCTCTTCAGGCAGTGGGATATGTTGTCCTCATTTCTTGGGCTCGAGATGGACACCTTGGCTGCTCTTGCTCGTACCTGCCAATATCAGCAGGCGCCAGAGTTATTTTTTGTGTCGTGCATTATCGAGTAATGGAATTAAAATCCTGCAGTGATCACAATGACAGATGTGATCAGAAAAATGTTGCTGCAGATCCCTAATGCACTTAGTGCTGCCCTGAATGAGGATCTCGCCTGCTTGCATCTGTCCATCCTTAAATAGCAATAGCCTTCGACAACCACAGGAAGCACTTCTCTCAGTAGTGCTGCCAGCTACCAGCATTTAACATGGCCTTGCTGAAGGGATAGCTCTCACTATTACAGTTTGCTAGAGTTATATATGCAGACTAATGATACAAAAGCAAACAGAGAAGACTTCCCTACTTATTTCTCTGGGACTATTCAGCAAAATAACATCTGGCACCAAAGCCCAAACTGCTCCCGGGGAACCACCAGCTCCAGTTCAACACACAGCACGCAGTGCCATCTGTGCTGCTCTGTTGTCTGCTATGGCTGCCTTCATCTCTGCTGCCAGCCAGGCTGCGGTTGATGTAAGGGAGCTGGAGTTCAGCTTTGCTTCCTGATGTTTCCTTTTTTGGTGTTGGTAACGTGGAGCCAAGGGGCTGTGTTCAGGTGTCAGCAATGCTCCCGGGCTTTGCGCAGCAGTGAAATCAGAGGAGGGGGTTATGGCCCTCGAGTTCCCCTTCCTGTGTTTGCATTGTCAGCATTCAGAGAGAGAATGTTAAAGAGTGAATGTACAGTTTGGCACAAAGGTTTTCTCCGTGCAGTTCAGCAAAGTCAGAGTTGCTGTGTTGCAAACAGCTGTACTGTGAAAATATTGCTATAAACTAAGGAAACAGTGTAACCTGCTGATGGAAATCCTGGGAAGGCTTGTAGGTGTCACTGTGAGCTTCGGTTTCCCTTGGCTCGCAGTGGGATTTGTGCTTTTAAAACAGTTCTCTTTCAAAAAACCGCAGTGGAGTTGCTTCAATTTTTTGACCATTTGGGGAAATGGTCTCTGTCACCAGCACAGAGTCAGTGTACTTATAAGGAAGTGCTCTATTGTTCGTTCCTTCTCTTTAGAGCTGTAATCACTAAAAAGCTGACATCTTTATGGGATGATGTGGTACCCAGCGGTGCCTTTGCAGAGTTCTTGCAATAAAAAATAAAATTAAAACAAAAAAAAAAAAGCTGTTATTTCTGAAGATGTATTTTTCAAAGTAGATTTTTCAAAATCTGTTTTTAGAGAGGAAGTGGTTGGGGCCAACCGTACAAAGGGATGGGATGCTTCTGCCTCTTGATTTGCACAGCAGCTTGGGGGGGGAGGACAGCAGTTTGAGGTTGAGTTTGAGTTACCCTGTGTCAGGTAGAATCTCTCTTTGCTGAAGAGTAGCACAGTTATATATTGAGGACCAAGTAATGATTCTGCTAGAAAAGAACTTCAGCTGTGTGCAGCAGAAAATGAGGTATATGTGAGTTCCCAGGACAGCAGCCAGGGAACAGCCTGCTAACAGCTTGGTTTGGGTCCTTTGTTCCTGGTATGTGAGGAGGGTTAGGCTTTAAGTGGCTTTAATATTAACATAAATGTTTTGGGGATCTAGAAGGCAGTAAAAGTCTTAGAAGAGCCAGTTTGACCTTAATTCTCAGAGTTCAGTAAGGTCCTGACATTGCTAAATGCTTGGGGTGGGATTTTTATTTTGCCGTGCTTTTGATCCACTCAGTAAGTCTCAAACCTGCACCCGGAGAGCTTCAGTGCTTGTTTTCTTACGTGCTTACTGCAGCTGAATGCAGGCAGTTCTAAATGCAACGTTGCCTGCGTTGCCCCTCTTATCCAAAGCAGACATGTCCATTTATACTGCACTGGAAAGTCATGAGCTGAACCATTGGCAGTGCCTTACCGAACACAGATGTAGAACTGCTGCTACTTTGAAACATTCTTGGAATAAATTGATCTTCCTGCCTTTGCAAATGCAGTTCTGCTGTCAAGTGTTAAACTGCTTTTCCAGCAGCCAGGCTGCTGCGCTGCAGGACGCAAATCTCCTCATTAAGAATTTACACATCCTTACAATGAAGAATGAACTGAGTTGGGCCCCCAGAGAAATCTCTGATTGTGATGCTGATAGCATCAGTGCAAACCTTCAAATATCATTTGCAGCATGCTTAGTCACAGAGCAGAGCAGGATGAAGCGTGCATCACTGAAGCACTGCAGACAAACCAAAGCGAACTTCTTCAGCTCTGTGCTGAATTGTTGTGAAGTTTTGTCCAGTGAAGACTGGGCAGTAAACTGCAGCACAGCCAGAGGTGGTGGGTGCCCTCCTTCTGCAGACTATGGCTGCTTAATTGGCCCTATCTATCAGGACATGCTGTGCAATCCACCCGACAGCAGTGGGGTTTCCCTCTCTTCACCAGCTGGAGGTACCTACACTTGGGAAATGCAGTGCCACAGGAAGATGATGATAGGAATTGGAAAAACCCTGCAGTGTTTCTGTTGCTGGTGTGGTGAATACTTCTACTTACTGCAGTGAATGATTCCAGAGGCTTTGCTTCCATGCTTTGCATGCTGTGAATTCACAGAAGTGCAGCAGTGTCTGAGTGAAACGTGGGTGCAGTGAGCACAGCTTAGTCCTGCCCTCGTCTGTGCATTTCTTGTTGAGAGAGGTGGATGCTGCATAAGACTCGTGTTCTTAGCACAGTGATGAGATTTCATTATGCTCACTAGGCAGCTGCTTTCCTTTCTGTCCACTGGTGGCACTGACTGAACCCTCCTGTATCTTTGCTTGTGAAGCGGATCCAAATTCCGAGCAATTCAAGGGCAGTCTTTTCTTGGTAACGTGATTTAAAGCCACTAGATTGACACTAACATAATCTCCCTGGTTTATGCAGACCCTGATCTCCCTTCTGAACTGCATCATCCTAATCGGCAGTGCAGTGTGGAGGGAGTCCCTTAGCACTGCATTTGCATTTCTGGTAGGGTAAGCCTTGTTTACAACCTGCCATCAGCAGCACTCTGCGATGATGCAGCAGCTGTTTCCCTTTTGGAACTGTGGCTTA